GGTCCCCCTATTCAAAAAGGAGTGTGTTCCAACTACAGGGGGATCACGCTCTTAAGCCTCCCTGGTAAGGTCTATTCGGGGGTTCTGGAGAGGAGGGTCCGTCGGATAGTCGAACCTCAAATTCAGGAGGAGCAGTGCGGTTTTCGTCCTGGTCGTGGAACACTGGACCAGCTCTACACTCTCAGCAGGTCCTGGAGGGTATGTGGGAGTTTGCCCAACCGGTCTACATGTGCTTTATGGACTTGGAGAAGGCGTTCGACCGCATCCTTCGGAGAACCCTGTTGGGGGTACTCTGGGAGTATGGGGTATCGGGCACTTTGATATGGGCTGTTAGGTCCCTGTATGACCGGTGTCAGAGCCTGGTCCGCATTGCCGGCAGTAAGTCGGGCTTGTTCCCAGTGAGAGTTGGACTCCGCCAAGGTTGCCCTTTGTCACCAATTCTGTTCATAACTTTTATGGACAGAATTTCTATGCGCAGCCAAGGTGTTGAGGGGATCCATTTTGGTGGCCTTAGGATTGCTTCTCTGCTTTTTGCAGATGATGTAGTCCTATTGGCTTCATCAGCTCGTGATCAACAGCCTTCGATGGAGCAGTTCGCAGCCGAGTGCGACGCGGCCGGGATGAGGATCAGTTCCTCCAAATCCGAGGCCATGGTCTTGATCCGGAAAAGGGTAGAGTTCCCTCTCCAGGTCAGGGAGGAGGTCCTGCCCCAAGTGGAGGAGTTCAAGTATCTTGGGGTCTTGTTCACGAATGAGGGAAAAATGGAGCGTGAGATCGATAAGCGGATAGGTGCATCGTCTGCAGTGAAGCGGGTGCTGTACTGGTCGGTCATGGTGAAGAGAGAGCTGAGTCAAAAAGCGAAGCTCTCAATTTACCGATCAATCTACGTTCCCACTCTCATCTATGGTCATGAGCTTTGGGTTGTGACCGAAAGAACGAGATCTCGGATACAAGCGGCTGAAATGTTTTTCTCCGCAGGGTGTCTGGGCTCTCCCTTAGAGATAGGGTGAGAAGCTTGATCATCCGGGAAGGACTCAGAGTAGAGCCGCTGCTTCTTCACGTCGAGAGGAGCCATTTGAGGTGGCTCGGGCATCTGTTTAGGATTCCTCCTGGACGCCTCCCTGGTGAGGTGTTCTGGACATGTCCCACCGGGAGGAGGCCCAGAGGAAGACCCAGGACACGCTGGAGGGACTATGTTTCTCGGCTGGCCTGGGAATGCCTCGGCATTCCCCCGGAGGAGCTGGACCAAGTGGCTGGGGAGAGGGAAGTCTGGGCCTCCCTACTTAGGCTGCTACCCCCGCGACCCAACCCCGGATAAGCGGAAGAAAATGGATGGATGGATGGATGGAGTGTGAACGATACCAACAGGCCAAATGATGCAGACATGGGATGCCCTTCCATGAAGAGATTCTGGTTTGGGATTTTTCTTACGTTATCTAATGAAACTATATATATTGCTCCTAATGCCTCAACTGCAGCTATTCTCTCCTGCTAAAAAGGCCTTCATATCAACCTCAGCTGGCCTGGAAGCTAATACTGCTGAAATAAAAGCCTGCAACTCCACCTACACTTAAAAGATGGATTAAAGAGGTCTTTTATTTTGGTAAGCTGAACAAAATCAGGCTGACTTTGTCCCAAAAGGCTGTATCTTTTTCATAAAAAAAAAAAAAACATATACTCCCTTGTTATCCATTGTTAAAGGCACAGATTGTTTGATCATATTGAACTGAACACAAGGACGTGTCTCGACATGCGTGTATATTTGCATACATCGAATGTGCAGAAAGGCGTAGCCTATGTGTATTTATAAATCTTTTATTTCTAATATTATTTATTTTCTTGTATTTTTTCATTTATCTATTTATTTTTCTTCTGCCCGAGTTGGAGTGCTAGGTTGTAAACCGTGGATTTAAAATGTTTTTTTGTTTTTTTTTAACAGAGCATTGAAATTGTTTGAGAATTAAGTTGCTTTAACAAGACATTAGCCTACTTTGGTCTTGGCCTTGATTGGACTAGCTCTTTAGTCACCAAACAAATAAGGATTAAATAGTTTTCTCCAAACCGATGTTATTTTAAAAACTGTGTACAACCGGTAAAATAGTAGTTAATCAAAAATGGACGTTAACCTTTATTTTACAGCCCTCACCACAAATAAAAATAAAATAAACTACAATTCTACAGACTGCATGATATCAGGGTTGCACTTTACTAAATCAAAGTAGTCTAAACTTCATGTGGTTTATGTAACTGGACCATGTTGGTTCTGCAAAGTTTGACAGACACAAATGGTGCAAGAAGAACTTTGCGCCAGCCTGTCAGTAAAATATCTCATTAACCACTGAACACAATTGAACAAAAATAAATAACCAATGGTTGTTCATCTACAACTTAATTTTGAAGACGTTCAAATCAAGATGGCCACCTGACATTAGAAAACACAAAAACAGATATAAATGTCCATGTCACTGATATTGTGTAAAATCAGGTGTAGTTGAGAGTCATCTACACTCCATGTGGTCCTCATTTTGCAAGCTCTTTGTTAGAGTCAATCTTGTCTGTCTGTTAGCAAAATATCTCGTTAACCACTGCAAAAAAAATGAATCTTTTAGAAATTAATTTTCATAAGTAAATCTACAACTGATTAATTCTGGGAGTCAAGACAGCTGCACAGCAAATCGATATTAGCCGACACAAAAATGGCTATACTTCAGTGAATTGTACAATGAGCTAAAATTTGCTGTGGTTGTAGCTGAAAGCTATTAACAACGCATACTCTGAGCATGACATCTTGTGTTGTCACGTTAGTGCCCATAATATTTTCACTATTTGACCTAATCTGTCGTTTCTTACAATCAGATTATCTCAGTTTTTAAGGAATCCCAGACCTTGTAAAAGTTTTCAGTGCTTTTTGTGTGAAGTTTTCATTTAAAGGGGAGTGTTGTGCTCTTTGCTCATGAGACCTCAGCTGGCTGCACCATTCATTTAGTTTAGTCTGATTTTATTTGTCATTCATAAGCAAAAACACAGCAAGGATTATCATGCGCTCAAAGTTAGGCATATTTTAGTTGTTATGCATGACAGATCAGATTCCTTTTTTATTTATTTACTTATTTAATTTTTATTTTTACAGTACAGTACATCTAATCTAAGCCACTCAGCAGGTGTTAAAGCTTCAACAATCCAATTAACTAATTTGCTTACGTCTATTTTCCAGAAGAGGGCGGTGTCAGAACAGTTTTAGCATCAAGCCCAGCCCAGTGTCATCAATAATATTCAGACGGTTATAGAAACATTCTCCAGTCTGTTTTAAATATTTTTTTCTATTTTTTTATTTTCTCAAATGTGTGTCTGTAACTTTACTGACATGTGGGATTCAAAAATGACTCTGCTGAAAATCAAATGACTTTTAATAAAAGTAATTTAAATGACTTCAGAGACTTATTCAGATGTCTTCCAGACCCTCACCTGGTCCCAAACCGGGTCAAGACCCGAGACTTTGGAACATTCAGCTCTTCTTACGCTGAGCTGCAGATTATTGTCTCCCAGAGCGTTTACAGGAGCTCAGAGTGACGTCGAACAAACGGAGCGACGTCAAGTCAACGTCAAAGAGGAGAGGAAACCGGAAACAGCTTGGATGGATTTCACAATAAAAATTTAACAAATAAACAAAAAGAATTAATAAAAATAAAACAAAGATAGAAAATTGATGTCTGTGTATGTTTATGGATCAAATAATAATTTAACTAAAACTAAACTGCATATGCTGCAATATTAAGTCAAATGAAGCTAAACTACAGATTGGGGGAAAAAAATAAAAATAAACCAAACAAGTTTAATAGTCATTCAAAGTTCATGCTCAATAATCCCCGAAAAGTTAAGTCAGGCCCTCTGGACATTTATTTGTTTGTTTGTTGTTTTGTTGAATTGTTTCATACTTCATCATTTTTGTTGTTGTTGAAACATTTTTGTCCTTCATCCAAATAATGTCATCTGTCCAAGGAGACACAACAAATTCTGTCCCATAAGTGGCTTACTCACATGTGGGCCAACCAGTTTGATGGTTGACCCACCACTCACTCCATCCCACTGTAATGTGAGTAATCGCATTACATATTATTTTTCATCTTTAAATCACTTCTTGGTCTGCTGCCTTCATACATCTCCTCCTACATGTCACTGTGTGAGTGCAGCTACATCGTGCGCTCTCAGGACATTATTACCTGCAGTGTCCCCTCAGTGCAGACTGAACTAGGCAAAAGTGCCTTCTCCTACTCCGCTCCTGTTTCCTGGAATATCTTGCAAAAAGATCTGAAGCTTTCAACCTTGACCTCTCTAAGTGACTTTAAACATCTGTTAAGTTCCTGGCAAGAACCAATGCATGTTCCTGTTTTTACACCGCCTTTTAACATAGCTGTTGTTTTGGGGGTTTTTTTGTTTCATTTTTTTAATGCCATTTTCTTTCATGTGTTCTTCTCAGTTTGTATGTTTTCTTTTATGATTGTCTACTGTTGTCCTTGTTGTCCACTGTTGTCATCACTCTTTTAAAATCATGTCTCTCTTGTAAATGAGTCCCTGAGGCTCAGTGGTATTAACCTGTATAAATAAAGATTGAATGAATGGTTGGCCCACTGAGAGTTTGTTGTGGCTCCTTGGACTGATGAAGTCCTTAGGATGAAGGATGAAACCTTTCAACAACAACAACAACAACAACAACAACAACAACAACAAAAAGAAGAAGAAGAAGAAAAAGAAACCATTGACTTAAATTGTAGATTAAATAGTTAACGCACATTATGAAACAGAAAAATGTAGCCTATATAGGCTATTTAAAATCTTATTTGGTTCAACATGATGATTAGACTGGGTATTTACTCACTTGTGTTTTGTATTCTTGGACAGTACAGGAAAAGTTCATAGATTTCGTTTTTCGCTTGGTTTTATTTTGAAAGCATGAAGCTCGCGCTGTTTCCGGTGTCTGTGCTGACAGCGGCGCGCGCGATAGAGGCGCGCGGGGACCCGCCAGGAGCTCGCGACGGCTGAGCTGAGAGCGGATCTTCAGCCGGGAGCGAAAATACTGAAGGTGGGATGAGAGTGAGCAGCGTCGTTTCATTGTCACCGGGAAGACAACAACAACAACAACAAGGACAACAAAACCACGTTCACAAGGGAACCGCAGCCTAATTTGGATACACCAGGAATTATCCTTTTTATTTATTATTATTATTTTTTAGTCTCTTTTATTAAAATTTTTCTATCCTTTCCATCTTCACATGATTTTGACTGGACCTGACTGGTTCTTGGCGACAGCAGGGGACATTATTCTGAAGGTGTTTACAGGATATCCATTTTTAATGAACACAGGCTGAAGATCTGAAGGAGCTTTGTTTTGGATCAGAACACGTTGGGCATCATGAGTTCCAGTGGTGAGTCTCTTACTGCGCGCCTCAGCTGGGACACGAGCCAATGAAAAAACAGAGCCGTCAGAATCCTCTATAGTTTTTCTCATAATGTGTCACACTTTGTTTGTTTTAAATTAATTTGAGCACATAGTGCATTTGTTAAGTGCCACTTAAAACCACGTGTTTATGTAATAAAGACACTACTGAAGCTCCAGAGGTGAAAGAGGTTTAGTGAGGATAACAGGGCTAAAAATACACAAAGGTCAAAGTTCACTCAAAGAATAGCTTTTTTTTTTTTAAAATATCAGTGCTTTAAAACTTAATTTCCATAACCGTCGGCTCTGCCCCTCACACTTTCAACTGTTGCCTCCTTATAAAAGCTCACCTGTCAGGGTTGGGGGGGTGGAGGTCCCTGACGTGACTGCTGCTGGACTCATGGAGTGGAGTGATGCAGCCTGTAAGTGTCACAGCCTGAGGGGCTGCTGTCATCCTTACCCCAGGATGGCCCTGGGGAACATCTATGCTAAGCTGACCTTGTATCAGCTGACCCTGATCCTCCGTCTGCTGAATCAGGGCTCCTCTCTTCATGGCTGAGAAACTGTGAGCATGCCTCCCCACGTTGTGTGTGTTTACAAGTCGTCACAGGTGGGTGTACAGGTCAGGATTTCATTAATACAATTGTGGGAATTGCCCCACTCGTTCCTTTGCTTTTAGTGCAGCTGGTAAAAGTGGCGAAGGTGCTTGAAGGACTGATGTTGTCAGGCACTTCCTGTCCGCCCTCCGGTGTGACTGCATCATTCATAACATGCTCTATCACTGTGTGGCACGACATTATTCATCCTGTAGTTGAAACTCAGCCGAGCTTTGCCTGAGTACCAGGCCGGGTGTTGCCGCTTGTCACTTCTGGAGCAAATGAGAGTCATTCTTTTGTTCCAGCTTCACGGTTGTCTTCTCTCACATGACCCAGACGTGGGAGAGTCACATTCAACCAACATGTGGACAGCTGCCACAGCTTCTTGTGTTGTGTACACATGTGCACACAAGCACATCTGCAGTCATTGAGGAAAAAAATAGTTAAGTGATGACTTGGATTTTACATATCGGTTGTAAAACAAATCACATTCTCTTTCTCAGGTTCGAAAAAAAACTATACATGTAGACACAAGTGAACAAAAACAGATTTTTCTCCAGGTACTCCGGTTTCCTCCCACAGACCAAAAACAGCCATTTTAGACTGATTGGTAACTCTAAATTGTCTCTAGGTGTGAGTGAGAGAGTGAATGGTTGTTTGTCTCATTTGTCTCTATGTGTCCCTGTGATGGACTGGAGACCTGTCCAGAATGTACCCCATCTCTCACACAGCGGTTCCTGGATATGGGTACCAGTGACCCCTGTGACCCCAAAAGGAAGAAGTGGGTATGTAAAGATGATGGATGGATGGATGGATGGATGGATGGAGGGAGAGAGGGAGGGAGGGAGGGAGGAATGGATGGATGGATGGATGGATGGATGGGCGGCTGTGGCTGAGTGGTTAGAGCAGTCGTCCTCAAATGCAAGAGTTGGAGGTTTGAATCCACCAGCAGCAACATGTCGAAGTGTCCCTGGGCAAGACACTGAACCCCTCATAGCCTCCGATGTGTGTCCCATCAGTGTATGAATGTGATAAAGCTCTGATTAATCTCTTTAGAATTATTTGTTCAATTAGCTTTGCATAGATCTAGTAGAGTGCTGTATGAATGGGTAAATGAGGACACAGATTGTAGTGTAAAGTGCTTTGAGTATCTTGAAATAAGATAGAAAGGTGCTGTATAAGTACAGTCCATTTACCATATGGATGGATGGATGGATGAATGGATGGATGGATGGATGGATGGAAAAGCTGTGTTTAAAAAGCCAAGCTTAATCAATGAGTCAACACTGGGTGAACCCCGTTTAGCAGCAAAAACTTGACATACTCTTATTTTTTTCTAAGTCTTTATCAGTCTCACATTATTGTGGAGGAATGAATCCTTTGGTCTACACAAGTTATTGTCGACTCAATGACAGCAAGATGTCCAGGTCGTTTGAGTAAAACAAGTCCCTGTCTTCTCCCCTTTATTGCTGTGCTGACAGTAAATGGACTGTACTTATATAGCACCTTTTTATCTTATAAAGATACTCAAAGTGCTTTACACTCTGTGTCCTCATTTACCCATTCATACAGCACTCTACTAGATCTATACAAAGCTAATTGAACAAATCATTCTAAATATACTAATCTGTGCTTTATCACATTCATACACTGATGGGACACACATCGGAGGCAATGAGGGGTTCAGTGTCTTGCCCAGGGTCAATTCGGCATGTGACTGCTGGTGGATTTGAACCCCCAACTCTTGCATTGGAGGACGACTGCTCTAACCACTCAGCCACGAGTATGAGGTGCCTCATAGCTGATATTTTAGCCAAACATCTCTACTTTAGTATCTTTTCTGTATAAAGTATATTTTCAAGACGCTTTATGGTTCATTCACATACAACTTTACACATCTAAATAGTAAAATAGAATAAAAAATACTAATAAAAAATTCTGAACTATTCATACTTCTTCAGTCTTCTTCTAATTGCATCGTTGTGAACTTTAACCTTTAATGTGTTAACTGAAGCCTTTAGAGATGTAGCTCACTGTGCTGAGTTTGGTGGATTGATTGGTCTCTTTCCACTTGTGAATACCATTTCTCCATTTACAATAGTATACTCCAAATTGTTCAGAAAGGACCTGTAACTCTTACCTGGTTGATGAGCAGCAACAGTTGCTTCTCTAATGCCATTGTTGATGTATTTCCTTCTTGAACAAAGTCCATGCTCAATAATCCAAGTATACATATATGTATATGTCATGTCATCTGGACAGTTTCTTTTTTTATGCTGAAACGTTTTGCCTTCGATCCGTCAAGGAAACACACAACAAAACTGATTCTTCCCCCAACAGCTTACTCCAAAGTGGAACAAACCAGTTTTGTTGGTGCTAAGATGGTCTCTTTGGCACGCCCCCTCCTCCATTGCCGGCCCTCTTCCTTGTTGACAGTTGTGTCAAACTAGTTGAAAACAACAAAGTCCATGCTCAATAATCCAGGTATACAATCCAACATATTTCCTTCTTGGCATTGTGTTAACACACCTGTATGCCCCAGAGCACCAAAGTGACAGAAGTCCTGCTTTCATCAACGTGTTCACACCAATAACAACCAGTTAAGGCTTTTGGATATCAAGCTGAAAAAAAAAAACCACCTCTTCTCTTGCATGCCAGTCAAACATATGTTCCTGTCTGCCTTCGGTGCTTCCAAGGTTTAGACATGACCAGGTCTGTTAGGGTGCTTTATGTGCATTCTTTACCACCATTCTGAGTGTGATACCCCAAAGGCCATGGACACAATGGTAGCAATTACACACAACCCAAGTGTCGAGCTTCAGCTTCTGGGCACTTTGTCACTTACGGTCAGCAGGTTTTCAGTTTATCTGGTCTGACACTGTTAACTGTGCAGCCTGCAAACAAGGGAGGACTCTGGAACCCTGAGAGCCATAGTTCTACACAATTAGATATTAATTAGTTATTATCAATAGTAATTGTTGTAATAGATTCTGAGATCTTTATTTGCGACAGGGCATGTACAGTTTGTATATTTCAGGGGAGTGCTATAAGACTGATCGATATACAGATCATTGAGTTGGGGGAGCTGGAGGGTTTCTGCAGCGCCATACATCACAGGCAGCACTGACACGTCTCGTCTTCTCTCTGTGTTTGCACTGCGACGCAAAAGTCCTGGCTCTCAGACAAAAACATAACCAGAGACTTTTAGTGCAACAGGTTGGGACTTTATATGTTCTTATACGATTTTTATTCCACAGACGTCCCACATTATAAAGCCGTCCCCACATGATAGCTAAAGCTCTGTTTTGTAACAAACATTTTAACAAGCTACAAGAGTTAGCACAGTGACATAAACAGCTGATTGTATGACTCAAAGTCAGGTCAACAGAGTCTACAGCTGAGCCAGACTGCATGAAGAACTTTTAATGATGTACACCAGTCACTTTTCATTGAAATTCTTCTTTGCAAAAATATTGAAAAAGTGCTAACAAAGACTGGTGTGTTCTTTGGTTTTTGCTTTGAATCGACTGACTGTTTTTAAATTACGAAAATACACACACGACAGAGTGCATCAGCTTATTGTGTGAGCTTTTCAAACAGACCAGATACACTCGTTCTGTTGGCAACGTCATCGTGCCGTGATCTTCAGTTCTCACTGGAGTGGTTCACAACCGAGTGTGAAGCAGCTGGGGAAAATCAGCACCTCCATATCTGTGGCCATGATCCTCAACATGGTCCTAAACTGGAAAAGGGTGGACTGCTCTCTTCATGTCGAGGGTGAGGTTCTGCCTCAAGTGGATGAGTTCAAGCATCTTTGGGTTTTGTTCAGGAGTGAGGGAAGAATGCAGTGTGAGATTGACAGACCGGCGCAGCGTCTGCAGTGTTGCAGACTCTGTGCCTGTCTGTTGTGATGAAGAGGGAGTTGAGATGTAAGGGAAAGCTCTCTGTTTACTGGTTGCTCTATGTTCCTACCCTCACCTATGGTCACAAGCTCTGGGTAGTGACTGAAAGAATGAGATCGCGGATACAGACAGTTGAAGTGAGTTTCCTCTGCAGGGTAGCTGGACTCTCCCTTAGAGATAGGGTGAGAAATTCAGTTATCCAGAAGAGACTCAGAGTAGAACCGCTGCTCCTCCACATCGAGAGGAGCCAGTTGAGGTGATTTGGGCATCTGGTATAAGGATGCTTCCTGGGTGCCTTCCTAGGGAGGGGCTTTGGGCATGTCCAACTGGGAGGAGACCTCAGGAAAGACTGAGACACGCTGGAGAGACAATATGCCTCAGATGGCATGGGAACACATTGGAATCCTCCCAGAAGAGCTGGAAGAGGTGGCTGTGGAAAGAGATGTCTGGGCCACCCTGCTCAAGCTGCTGCCCCCATGATCTGATTTCAG